CTTGAGCGGCTCCAAGCCTGGTGGTCAGCATGGCGTCGTCCAGCAGCAGAGTCCAGGCCTGGGGTCGGGCCAACCTGGGGGCACAGCTGCAGTCAACTCCAGTGGCAGTTTCCATGGAGGGAGGGCCCAGGGCAGCGTCTGGGCCTTGGCAGGCTCCGTGGAGGAGCTAGGGGCCAGGGTGGGGTCAGACGGAGGCAGGACCCCAGGGACATGTGTGCTGGAACAGACCAGGAGGAAGGTCCAGCCCAGAGGCTGCTACTGCAGCCCATCCTGGAGTCCAGTGAGCATGTTTCCTGCCTCAGTGTCTGCCCCCACACCAGAATCGCCTCCTGATCCGGCCCTTCAGCCCCAGGGTCGGCCTCTTTGGAAGGGCTGTGCTGCCCGCTCTGCAGCGCCCATCGCCATGTGGCTGGGGCCTCCCTCACAGTGACGCAGGATGTGTTCCCCTGAGGCCAACCTCCCGGCTGGGCGACCCCTGGCCTGGCCGTCCCTGGGACTCTGGCCCTGCCCCTCCATCCTCCGGGCTCCATCTGGTGTGGCCGCCCAGGCAGGTGCCTGGCAGGCACCCTGCACCTGACTTCCATACAAAGGCAGCCGTGCCCCCAGACGCCCCTCTGCTGCATTCCCGCTCCCATGGGCGCCGAGTCCTAACTGCTAAGTGTCCTCCCACCCCAGTCCCAGCCTCTGCTGCTACCATCTGTTGGACACGCAGCCCCGTACGGCTTCATGCTCTGTGCGTGTCTGCTCTCTGCTCCAGTCAGAGGGGAACTTCCCGTTGAGCTGGACGCTTGAACAGCCACCGCAGACTGAGTCCCTGGCCACCCGAGTGGTGGATGTGGCCTTACGGCTAGTTCCCAGACCTCAACATAAGAAGGGTGTGTGTCTCGAGGAAACGCTCTTGCTACGTCCTTCCCACACGCCGCAGGGCCTGAGCCCCCGTCACCCACCCTTCCTCTTGCTCTGGTCTCAGCGCCATCCTGTCCTCTGTGTGGCCTGGTCACCCTCCATCTCCCTTCCCAGAGCAGCAGTCCCGGGGGCAGAGGCATCTCTGTCCGGTGCACACTGCATCAGAGGGGACCACCGGGGATGAGACCACCCGTGAGCAGGTGAGGGGCAGCGGGTGGGCCTCCCAGGCTCTGTGACCGGGCGCCCTGGCTTGCGGGAGGGAGGCAGGAGACAGGGTGGGGCCACACCTCAGGGAGGTTCCAGGGTGAGCGCCATCAGTCCTGCGGGCGGAACTGGGGTCCGGGGTGGGTGGGAGTCCAGGTGGGGGGACTTCTCAGCAGCAGTCCCTGGTGTGTGTCCAGGGTGGCAGGAGGCATCGCTCGTAGCGTGCTCAGGGTGACCTGTGTGCAGAGGGCAGGAGTGGAGCAGGCGGGGGGGACAGTGAGGAAGCGGGGAAGGACAGCACCCGAGCCTGCCCTGGCAGGGCTCTCAGCCTGGAGGGCGTCCCTGCCCAATGGAAGCAAAACTAAGTGGGTCCTGCAGGCAGTGTGGGCTGCACAGGGGCTTTAGACATTTGTTTCCAGAAAGCCCCCAAATGAAACCAAGAAGGTGTGTCGGCCGGCTGCGGTGGCTAGCTTGTCATCCCAACACTTTGGAAGGTCAAGGCGAGAGGATTGCCTGAGCCCAGGGGTTCAAGACCAGCCTGGGTAACTTGGCGAGACCTCGTCTCTACTGTAAACCAAAGAAATTAGCCAGACGTGGTGGCACACGCCTGTGGCTCCAGTTACTTGGAAGGCTAAGTCGGATAGATGGCCTGAGCCCAGCAGGTTGAGGCTGAAGTGGCCACGAGCGTGCCACCGCCCTCCAGCCTGGGCAACAAGAATGAGACTACAACCCCTCCCCTGCCAAAAAAGACGTTTTGGCCAGGCTGGAGGACACACCTGTAGGCCCAGCTCCTCAGGGAATTGAGGCAGCAGGAAGGCTTGAGCCCAGAGGCCGAGGCTGCAGTAGCTATGATGTGACACTGTGTTTCTTAAAAAAAAAAAAAAAAAAAAAGCAACAAAAAATTGTGTCTTCTTGTTTCTATCTAAAATCTGTCCATCATTTTTAAGCCTGCATATGATGCAATTCACAGCATATTGTAAACATTACCATTTTAAAGCAAAACAGTCACAGCGGCCTTTTCAGCACCTCGAATGCAATGACTTACACGCGCCACACCCAGCAGAGAGGACCCCAGCAAGCTGCTCTCACAGCCAGAAACGCCGCTTCTGCCTTTCCTTGAACTCATGTTTCTGCTTCACTTCCCTGCAGAATTGCAAGGTGTGTGATGTCCGAAAGGTGTGGGCTTAACGCACTTCCTCTTCTGGGCACAAACGGGGCTCGAGCCTGACCCCACCGCTAGCAGCTGTGGGGGCCACGTGATGTCCCTAAATGCAAGTGACACCGCTGAGGCCAGGACATCACTAAAGGCACTTGGTTTTAGTGATGTCACTGGACCCAGGTGGTGTCGCTGACACAGAAGCTTTAAAAATAAAACAGCTCACCCCCCTCCCATGTCTGGGGATGTGCGGGGGCTGCCACATCCCAGCGGAAGGACGGGAGGCGGGGTGGGGACAGCTCCCAGCCACCATGGGGTTGGTGTGTGGGGCGAGACAGCCCTGAGTGGTTTCAAGCCACCTGGAGCTGCATGACCTGCCCCGTCCCCACCAGACTCCAGGCTCCGCCCACCTGTCCTGCCTCTCCGAGACAAAACATGTGCGCGGAGACAGTCGTTTGTTTTATTTTGTGAAACCAGGAGGCTGAAAGTGAAAGGAGGCTGAATGAGCATTTGGCCAGATGCTGTTCTACGATTACCATCGCGCCCAGTGCAAAGGACACACAGTGATGCCACTTGCCATAAATGACGGCATGGAAGTGAGACTGAATCTTTTTTTTTTTTTTTGAGTTGGCATCTCACTCTGTCGCTCAGACTGGAGTGCGGTGACCGCTCCCAGCCACCGCAGCCTTGACCTGCTGGGCTCCGGCAATCCTTCCGCCTCAGCTTTCCAAATACCTGGAACTCCAGGTGCACGCTACCATCCCTGGCTAATTTTCTGATTACCAAGGTCTCACCAAGTTGCCCAGGCAGGTCTCGAACCCGCGGGCTCCCAAAGTGCTGGAATTACCCACTTTGGGTAATACCCACTTTGCCACCGAGCCCAACCGAGACTGAATCTTAAAACTAGGTTATTGAACAGTTAAGTCTTCGGGAGACAGCGTGCCTGGGGCTGAGGTGGGCTGGTGTTAACATTATTTCCTTTTCTGAGGACCCTGCTTGGCTGGGGGAGGGCTGGTGTTACATTATTTCCTCTTCTTTCTCTGTGTTACACTGTTTCTTGTTTTTCTGCTTGGAGAGGAGCTGAGCTGACTTGCTTTTACCTGAGCGCAGCCGGAATGCCTGCCCAGACCCTTTCACATGTTGACCCCGTGCTCATGTGTCACCCAGAGCAAGGACCAGTGGATCCCCCAAGCGGGTTCCGTTATTTGTGGGGCTCCAGATTTGTTTTGGAGGCAGGCTTAGGGAAGCTTGTGAAGACCACAGGGCCACACCCCACTCCTCCCGCAATCCTCCGGGTGAGCAGAGGGAAGTGCCAGGCTGTCCTCGGCGCCCTCTGCCTGCGGCTCTGCTTGGCCCCGCTCTCGCCCGTCCAGGCCAGTCCTCAGGAAGGAGGAGGCAACGCCAGGGCCGCTGCGATGGGGTGGAAAGGTGCGGGTTTGGATCCAGGTCTCAGCTCTGCTTCCCTGGCTTTCCCGTGAGCCATACCTGCCCCGCGGGCTCGCAGATGCCGAGTTACGCCCCTCATCCTAGCAGCATTTTCTGAAAACCCGCTGTGCCAGGCGCTGCTCCAGGCTGGGGCACCACACAGGACAAATGCAACACGTCTGAAGCTGGCAAATGCCTGCCCATGCCCCAGCCAGCTCTGAGTGCACATCTAGAGAGTGGTGGAGTTCTTGGTGCCGGAATCATCCGCGAGAACTACCGCGGAAAACGGGACGCCATCTGCAGAGACAGC